ATGTATATATATATAATTTAAATATATATATATATATGACATATACTATATATATTATATATAAATATATAATAGTATATGTATATATTGTATATATTATATATAATATAAATTATAAATATAATATATACTATATATATATATAATATATATAATATTATATATATATATAAATTGTACATAATATATAAATAATACTATATATATTATATATATATACATATATAATATATAAATAGTAGTATTATATATAAACGAAATATAAAATATATATATATATATATATATATATATATATATGTAATCTATATGTTGATAATTCAATCATGCATGCTGTAAAAGGCCAAACTGCCACGCCCACTTTCACTGCAGCAGTTAATGTGCCCAGATGTTGCTCCAGATAAAAACAGATGCCAGGATTTGCCAGTGAAGTTTGAAAAAGTAGAAGATGTACGATGTCGAGACTCAGAGATCACTTCTCACTCCTCTGGCTCGTGTGTTGTGACAGATCTGATGCCGTGGCTTCAGCTCGGCGGGCATCTCCACAGTGGTCTCTGTGGGCCATTGATAAAAACAAACTGGGTGAACCAGTCAACACCGACCTCTGGACTCTTGAACACATGTCGACCGCCACTGTTGTCTAAATGTGAACTAAATGGTTTTGGTTTAGTCAATGAAACTGTGTTGACAGACATTTTTAAGACACAATGTAACAGACTGCCACCCAAAGACACTTGTCAAAAATATGTTTTTCATTTCCAGTTGTTAAAACCATCCTCGACGTGCGTGATAAAATCCACACACACACACAACCGGAGCTTTAAAGAGAAACACCGTCCACTCCACACACCTGCAGACTAGTGCAACCTACGGGATTATGTCCCATCCCAAAACTAAACTGACCTCTGACCCTAAAGGCCAGGGAAGACACACGTTAGGCGATAAGTGAAGCACAAGTCCCATTGTGCAGAGTCTCCCTGTCCATTTATTGACTTCCTAAATGATCCATTATGAGGTGATTTATGAGGTGCACTGCTGCCCTATCGGGCTCTTCTGAGGCCGGAGAGTTGTCTGCTCCATTCACAAGACATGTGCACCAACGGAGCCAGCTTTTGATTTATCAGAGAATGGACGGAAGCTGGCCTACATCACCTCTAGTGTTTGTTCAAAGCCAACAGGAGGGTTGAGAAGCCACTATGAATGCAAGATGTCACCACGGAGGTCCTGGACAAAAGGTTGAAATGGACATCTGCAGGATCATGGTAAACAAATCACTTTAACACAACTGTTTATAGAAATGTACAAAAATATGCTCTCGTTTGTATTTCTATAAGGATTTCAGTGAGTTTTAAGATTCTCAGACAGTTTGCTAAATCACACACGCTTTAAATAAATCACAATGTCACAGTAACACTTAATATTCTCTAAAAGCGTAGCAGAGCAGCTTGTAGCGACCTCTTCTTTCCTCTGTTCTGACGACTCCCCAGCATGATGGTCTGATTTCTCAGGTCCTTCCTCTGAGGGTCGTCTCAGGAGACACAGCGGAACGTCAGGGCTTTGAAACTTAGAGCACGGTGCTGCAACAAACGAACGCAACGACTCGGAGACAGTGAGCAGAATAAAACTCCTCGCTTAAACAAACAAACAAACAAACAAAACATTTCTAAGACATCTGTTTTTATCTGAAAGAAGTTTAAACTGGACCCTCTAGAGTCGTTTCGTGTTTTTTATTTGCAAAGAATTGATCAACTAAAGGGAAATGAGTCCACGAGCAGATCCTGCTGCCCAGCTAACGAACGATCAGCACATCTCTTACATCAACACCCCTCTGTTCCTCGTGTCCCACCACGATTAACCTTGTTTGACAAATACAGCTCGGGTCAGGCCAGGGGGCCCGAACGCTGAGCTGAAAGCTGCTGGAAAAACAACATGAGATTATGGAGCTGCTCAGGTGTGTCGTATACTCAAATTCAAGTCCACTGAAGCACATCTTCCATCAGATAAGTCAACATGATCACATGCTGCAGAGGACCACACCAGCTTCAGCAAACAGCAGGCCCAAGAATCTGCTAATTACCTGAGAGCCTTTTAGTCGGACCAACAGCCGAGGACGGCTTTAACAGATTATACGGAGCTGCAACAATAAAGTACTACATTGTACTGAGAATATAAATAGTATTCGGGAACAAAGTCTTGAGTCATAGTCGCAGATGCAAAAATATTTGTTGGTACTTTGACAGCTCATTGAATGGAGCTCTGCAGAGCAAAAACAATAAAAAAAAATTATGTTTATTTTACAAAGGTTTACTACGATTAAATGAACAGATTTGTTGGTAACATTAAAGAGACTAGTGTATTAATCTTTGCATTATAGTCATGTTTTAAATGAACTGTTTGATCTTTACTAGGAATAAAAGTGCCTTCACGCTTTTCATCGGCCATTTAGCAGGTTTAAAGAGTAAAAACGTGACACGGTGGTTCGGTATCGTTGTGTTCATCGTACTGAACGTGGAGCAGGGACGAGCCCCGAGGAGCTCAGATTATAGATATCCATGTCAAAGCTATCAAGTTAGCAGGACCTGCTAACAGAACAGAACCACGATGCTGAAAGAACCTCCCTGCTAACTGAACCACACTGTAGATGCACTTCTTCTGCAACTTTGGCTCCTTGTTTTTTTGTATTTTTTAGTATTTTTCCTGCATATTTCTTTTTTTTTTTGGTGAGTCGCGACAGTTCTTCTCGTCCTAAGCATTTCATTGCATTGTTGACTTTGTGTTGATTTTGCACATGACAAATAAACCTACCCTAACCAAAGGAAATATGTAAAAGACCATCTTCACATTTCTCTGACCAGTTTCCAAAAATTATTAAACGTCTAAGGTTCATGTGACTGCAGCCAACCAGGACGTGGATGCAAATGGAAATGCAACTCCATGATCACACGAGTGGTGCAGATGGAAGATTAATGAAGTTATCCAGACCCTATCAGAGCGACTCCAAGGTGGAGGTACGCCACTTTCTGATCAGCCTTCGTCCTGTTCTGAATTATAATGAGCTTCATGGAAAAACTACAAAAAGGCTGGGAGCTGACTAAACACATGTTGACGAGCAGGCCCGGAGCGGCTAATCGGGAGAATTGGGACATTTCCTGGTGGGACATTCTGATTAATGGGGGGCAGACCTGGTGCTCCCTGGGTTTATCACTGCTATTGATGCACCAGGGCCGCCCCGCCTCCACCCAGTTCTGGCTCCGCCTCCACAGGTAGCTCTTTTTTTTGTTGTTGCAGATGCACCCTGAGTAACACGTCAGTGCACTCGGTCAGTGGCGTTTGAAAGATGGAATGTAGAAAGAGCAAGGTTGGCGTGAAGAAAACTAGAATTAAAAGAGGAACTCTCTGGAAACAGACGCAGCTAAACACGGTTATAATTACGATTTTAATAATAATAGGTCGTGATCTAACGTGGGTCATAGGGAAGCACGATGTTATCGGCATGGTATCAGTATCGGCCGATATTAACGTTAAATTTCAATATCGGACATGCCATTAATAACCCGCCAATGTAAAAGGTGCTGTTTTTGCCTGCAGCGGCAGCACAATGCGATGACGTCACATGCGCCTACCCGAGCTCATGGTGGAGAGGAAAATTCAAAATGTCGGTGGTGTGGAAGTTTTATTTTTCGTTGTTGAGGATGTCGGATTCCAAAGATTTATGGACTACGTTGAGCTTCGCTGCATCGTCCGCAGTTTGAGATATTTTTCCAACGTAACGTTACCTGAGTTACCAGTCGAAATTTCCGACGTCATTGAGAAGCTAATAGCTGATAGTACGACTTGTTGGGTGAGTTTTACCACAGACATTTGGACGTCAAGTGTTAGCCCCGTTAGCATGATTAGTCTCACAGCACAATGGACAGACAAAAACTTTGAACTTAAAAAGTCTGTCCTTCATGCACAGGAGTGCAGAGGATCCCACTCTGCAGCTAGAAACCTGGAACAAGCCTCCACAAGTGAGACAGCATCACAGGTGACTAATGCTAATAAATAACATTTAACACTTTTCATTTAATATAAATTAAAGTGCTATACATATCATATGGCTGTTACTGAATATATGTCACCAGCTCTTACAACTGTTGCACAATTTTTGTAGCAAATAAGCCTAAATAAGAGGAATATGTTCTAACAAAGGTTATATGAAATATCAGTATTGGTTATCGGCCGAATAAGTTTTAACATATCGGCATATCGGCCAAAAATCCGATGTCGTGCATCCCTAGTGTGCCAGTCTGAGGCTGACACTCCAGGACTGAAGATGAGTCCCACTCCAGCTGTTGACGAGCCCCAAAGTTTCTGGTATGACTGAAACAAAACTGGATCTTTTTGGCTCCAGTTACTTGTTTTTATCATCACTGTATGTAGATGACACCAAGAACTTTATTTGTCTGTATGATTACGTCTTCGAAACACACAGGACACAGAAATAAAAACAAAAAATGCTGCAGCAAATACATTTTTATATGAAAACCTAAAAATTTGAAAATATGTATTAAAAACAAACCAAAAAGTTGTAAATGTTGTAAAACTCGAGCAGCAACATCATCCTTGTTTAAGTCATTTCTGATCCACTAACTTTCTGCTCTGCACAGAATATTCTAGACATTTACTTTGTATTACTCAGAAGTAGAAAGGTTTTACTGTTTTAGTGCTGTTATACGACTGAAGTCCATAAGAGACCCAAACTGGGCCACCTAACATCAGTTTAGATGATGATCAGAAGTCTTTACATCCTCCCAGAGCTGAGAGGCTTTCAGCCGGTCTCAGCTCCCTCGTTGTATATAGACCACAGACTGATGCGCTGGTCTTTGGATCCAGCAGCCAACAGTCTTTGTCTGGAGTCCTGATGGTCTGAGAAGGCTACGCTGAGCACCATGTCCGTGTGGTACTGAAGAACCGCTAGCGGCCGCAGCTTCTTCCAGCCAAATATCCGCACTCTGTGGTCCCAACCCGCTGATGCCAGAAGTCTACCGTCCTCCCGGACACAAAGCTGGGAAACTCCAGGGTTGAGCAGCTCCACACTGTCCCGGAGCTGCAAAACCACACAGAGACGTTAAAAACTGCTTGCTTGAATGAAACAATCAAAAATACAGTTTGGAAAATAATATAATTTATTATAATTATATAAGAAATGTAAATATTCAAAATAATATTACCACATTTTTTGCTCTATAAGTCACATTTTTTTGCATAATTTACAAGCCCTGCAACTTACACACCGAAGCGACTTATTTATAGATTTTTTCCCCCCGTATTTATAAACTAATGTTTGGCTGAGATATGACCGTGTTCATCCATTCTGACTGCAAACATTCAACACTACCATTTTCAGCTGCTGGATGGCAGTCGAGTTGTATGGCATGCTGTTGTATCATGTAATAGGTAAAAGTGGCTATTAATGACGCAATCGGCTTGCCACATACTGCCACCGTCGTCCCGCTCGCCTGGAGCAACCGTCAAATCAGCTTTATTTCGCTGCGCCGCCCCGGCGAAATGGAGCTGATTTGACCATAAAAGTGCATTTATTAAGTAAAAGTTCAACTGAGACACACCTTTACTATAAAGTTGAGCAAACAAATAATTGTTTTTAAGTGTTAATCTTGTTAAATTCTTGTTAAAGTCCTCCCGTGCACGCTCCCGCGCCCACCATTTGGCAGCCAATCAATTTTTGGCACAACACCGGCCCACATTTCCAGGTTGTCAGCGGTGACGCGTAACAAACGTGATGCGTTAGCGGCGACGCATGATATGACGTATACGGCAAAGCAACATATTTATGGATATTTCCACTTTTTTTTAGACGTATTTGGACTGACGTGACTTACAGGGTGCGAAGTGTACGGCGGAAAATATGGTATTTAAACAACAACCAAAAAAAAGCCTATAAAAACAGTCAGTAAAGTGCTGAGTCCCTTCTCTCCAGGAAAATGTGTCCAACACTAACACACACACGTAGAGATAGTATCAGCTGATCTGACGACTGAGGTCCAATGTGAGGCTGGAGCTCTGTTCAACCTGGCGGTAAACTCCTGGGACTCAATCATCGGCCGTAAAACATTACGGCACGAGAGCTGCGAGTAAATCTCTCCAACACCCATTATTTGCTTTAGAGTTATCCTGATGAGGAACTGGGTTACCTGTGTCACAGCTTGTGAAACAATATAAAAAAGAAAGACTATCTTGGTGAAATACTTGTTTGCAGAGACCGTGTTGCTGCGAGCGCCTCTGATAAATTACATTCACACTGAAAGGTTTGGTCAGCGGGCAAAGATTTTTTTGATAAATACGCCGCTGTAACATCTGCCTGCTAAAGATTAGCCACAGCCCCCTCTCCCTGTGATCTACAGTGTCCCAAGGACTGTATCAATCTCTCTAAAGGGGCAACATTCTGACATATTATAACGAATGGCGGCTCAGATCAGTATCTAAAGGGCCTGTGGAGGTGGGCATTCCAGGGGAGCGAACGTGCTCTTCCTGCAGGGTGAGCGTATCTGCTGGATGGGCCACAAACATCTGGATATGAGGGCTCAAAATCTAAGCGGACAGCGTAAAATTGACTTCATAAGTAGTGTCTGCAGAGACTAATGGCCTTGAATGGGAGGAGACGTTGGGGAAATTTATCTGCTCGCTCCTGTTCTGGGCAGGAACCGTCCACAAGCTGCATGTGGAAGATATAAGCCAGGTACTCGCAGCCCAAGTGAATAAGGTGGAATGCAGCAGCAGGAGGAATGTCATTGATCATAAAAAAAAAAAAAAAAAAAGCTAAGCTCAAAGGAGTCAGTGGTGAAATTTCCCTCTTTCCCGTTCTTGTTTTTAATCAAACTATCGTTTATTTGCATCCATGGTGTGAAACCGAGCACGCCTGCTCCGACCAGAACAAACCAGATGAATAGAAACGGAGGAAACGTGGAGGTTAAAGAATATTTGGAGCTCTGTTATTACCTCAAGTATCTGGTATGGCCCTACCTCTGTGCAGCTGGTCTGCATTAGAGGCCTGATAATGATGGGTTTAAGTGTCTGTTTTTGTTTGTTTTGCTTCCCATAGTTTGTGTCAGGAAAAGGCATTTGTTTCATTTAAGGGTCAGTGGCGAGCAGTAAACGCCTAATGATTGCAATAATGGTCGTTCAGCAAGCCTGCCTGCAAAACTGTTTTTACTTTCTGTCTGAGAAAGTGGGGAGAGACAGTTAGTGAAAAAAGTTTGTCCTGTGTAATCGTTTAAGACGGGAGGTGCTGGTTCCTGAGCTGCCACTGAGCAGGACTGACCCGCTGGGTTCTTCAAGCTCTGCTGTTCCTAAGACCTTTATGATTTACGAACAAATGAAAAAAGTGAAAAACAATTATTATGAACTAAATGGGAAACTTATCAAAGAAAGTTCCTTCTTCTATGCACAACTAATAATAGATTATTAGGCAAATTTTTAATGCGGTTTAGATCATTTTTTTTGTTTCTTTTTCACAGATTATTATTTTTTAAATCAAATAATCGAAGCAATAACTTTTTTTTCATTTAGCCTTTATTTATCCAGGTAGTCTCATTGAGCCACGAGAACTCATTTTCAAGAGAGACCTGTTTTTTTTTTTAGGGAGCACATGGTGGGGGTTAAGGGCCTTGCTCTTGCTCAACTTATTCATTTGTGGAAAAAATCTTTAGTCCAGTAGTTTTTAATCTTATGAGGATTAACAAAACATTTATCAAGTGTTTTTTTTATTCTTTGAATAATTTAAAAAGGTTAGAGCAATCAGTGATGAATTGATTTTGATATTCATTCATATTGCATTTGTTTTAGCACTTTATGTAAAAACATTAAATTTGTTTCAGTGTAAGCGTTTTAAATGTGAATGTTTGCTTCTTTCACTTAATTTCTGCTTAAAGTTAGAAAAAGTATTGTTTTCCATTTTGAATTTCTCAAATTTTTATCTTTACTCTGGAAAAACTAGTATAGTCCAATTCTATTCTGACTTTTTCCTCCAAACTTGGAAACAAACAAATTTTTTTCACACAATTTCCCTTCATGTGGTTTGACTACATCACAAATCATCATCTGAAGCAGGATTATTCAACTGGAGGCCCGCGGCCCACAAGTGACTTCAATCTGGCCAACTTCATAAAAAAAAATAAAGAAAATAAATATTATTGTTTTGGTTCTGGGTTTGGGTTCTGTTTATTGCATTTATGAGTCAATGCAATAAAATAAACACATTTAAAAGGCAACAGATCATTGTAAACTTTAGTTTATTTACATAATGATTTTAATCGCTGGATGTCCCGACTCCGAGCTGCTGGCTTTCAGAAACTGTGGCCCCCTGAGCAGTTGAGTTGAACAGCCCTGATCTAAAGCTTTTTAAATAAACTGCATGAGAAAATGATGAAACTAAAGGATGTTAGTAATGTCTGTTGATGCTCATAAAAACAGTTTTTATGCTACTCTTGCTGAGTCTTGCCACAGCTGAACCAATATTGTAAAAACCTGCAGCAGATTTTTAAACCAAGTTTCAGTCAGTAACCAGGACATTAAGGACGATTGTATTCAACACGGCAATAATTACCACAAAATGTTGTGTTTTACTTTT